ACACATTTGAGAGTGTTTGAATGAAGCTTCCAGTCGTGTTCGTTGAGACTGCGGCTAGCATACTCGAGTACTCGTTCTCTCTCTTTTTGAACTTGAGCGAGTACGGCACCCAAACTAGTTCAATCGGCGGTGATATAAATTATTCTTGGCCATCCGTACCTGAATGTTGTGATTATTGGAGGACTTGTCAAAGGTCTTTTTATGTCATTGACGATCTTGTCGTGAATTTCAGTTCAGATGAAATCAGTGTCACGAGCCAACCGGGCATGTAAAGGGAACTTCATGGCAGAGAAGTTACTAATGAACCTTCAGAAGTAACTTGCAAACTGGAGAAACGCGTAGAGCTTTTTCTTGCTTTGCGAAGGTTCAAATTTATCGATCGATGCAACTCGTGAGGAACCTTGAACTAAAGTACTCGTAGGAGAGCGCGTTGAAAACTACAGAATACACAGAAAGAATAAAACACTTGAAGGACGAACACAGACGCACACAGTTCTTTCAATGAGCAACGAACATTTATGAAATGCCCATGACACTACGACCGTGAATTTCAAAGAATTGAAATAAAGAGAGAGCGCAAAACTTTCAAAGAAATGAAATAAAGAGAGCAACAATTAAACGAAAATGCTCAAAATTAAAATAAAAAAAATTAAAACTAAATTGCTCGAAAATTTTTAAAAGACCAAATTGAAACGATAGGACATTAATGGAAATTAGCCCCTGAATAAAGGAGAAAAGGAAGAACAATACGGAAATTGACCACTGAATAAATGGGGAAAAAGGAAGAAAAGAAAGGAAATTAGCCCCTGAAAGCGAGGAAAAGGAAGAAGAAAGGAAAAGGAAATTCCTTTCTTCTTCCTTTTCCTCGCTTTCAGGGGCTAATTTCCTTTCTTTTCTTCTTCCTTTTTCCCTATTAATTCAGGGGTCAATTTCCGTATTGTTCTTCCTTTTCTTCTTTATTCAGGGGCTAATTTCCATTAATGTCCTATCGTTCCAATTTGGTCTTTTAAAAATTTTCGAGCAATTTAGTTTTAATTTATTTTTTTTTTATTTTAATTTTGAGCATTTTCGTTTAATTGTTGCTCTCTTTATTTCATTTCTTTGAAAGTTTTGCGCTCCCTCTTTATTTCAATTCTTTGAAATTCACGGTCGTAGTGTCATGGGCATTTCATAAATGTTCGTTGCTCATTGAAAGAACTGTGTGCGTCTGTGTTCGTCCTTCAAGTGTTTTATTCTTTCTGTGTATTCCGAACCTTGAACTCTTCCTTCTTTTGTAATGACGTAGCCGAGAAGGATTACTCTAGAAGAGACGGACTGGCATTTCTTGATGTTCATACGGAGCCCGTTTGTTATGACGCGCTTTAGCGCCTCCTCCGTAGAGTAAGAGACTCATCGACTGAAGAGGCTGCTTGACCAATGTCGTTCATGTAGGCTGCGGTGCGGGGCAGTCCATGGAAGCTGCAACGCATCACAGTTTGCATCGTCTGTGGTGCTTTACAGAAACCAAATGCCATTCGCAGGTACTCACACTTTCCGTGGGAGATAACAAATGTGGTTCTGTGTACAGCCGCCGGCAGTATGAAGGTAAACACCTCACCTGGTTTCTTGCCTGCTTTACGGCTCCTTAAAGCTATATTAACTCTCAACCTCTCAAATGGTACGGGGCTTGGGGTCTACACTTTGCGTTCTGGCCCTCTTCTGGAACAGAGCTTGTTCAAAAAGTTGCAGGAGCGTCAAAAACAATAAGAGGGCTGTTCACCTTCATATCGCTCACGGGTGTACATCGCTCTGTTTAACCCGTATGGTGAGAATGGAAGACTTTACATCCGTGACCGTGAGTACTTCGCTCCTTCGGACATCACGTCACTAAGAACATCTTCGTTGATTGCTATGGGGTAGGGAGTGCTGATTGTTTTTGCGTTCAGCTTGTGATAGTCATTCGCCGTTCGTCGAGGTGTCGTGGTGTGATGCGGTTGATCGACCACAATCGTTGGATATGCATATTCGCTATCACTTTCTCTTTTAGTGCCCTTTTGTAGTAGATCGTTGACTTCCCTTTTAAGAAATTGGCGATCAGGAGGAGAGCATCTATAAGGGCGAGGTGTGACTGGTATATTGTCTCTCAGATCGATCGAATGTTCAGAATGGGGGCATAGCCCTATTTTGTTCTCGCCATCGACAAAGGCTGAGTGATGTTTCAGAAGTATGTGACGAAGCTGGTTCCGTTGATCGGCCGATGCACCTTGAGTCATTTATTTGACGGCTATTTCGATATGCTCGAGAAGTTCGGTGCCTGGGGCACTCTCTCGCGTTTCTAGCTTCACAAATCTATCCCCGTGCTTCGTTGCACACACAGAAACTGTGTCAATAAAAAGTTAGCGTTTACAGAATGATGCAATGAGTGTTCCACCCGTTAGCTCACTAGATATGCTTGGGCTGCAACGTTCAAGCGTGTTTCCATGAGACAGGTGAACTACCGCAACGTCGTTGCTGGGGTGAAAGGTATCGTATACGTTGGCAAGTTGTCTACAATCTGATCCAATGAAGGATGTCGACAGGGGCAGATAGTTCCGTGACGAACACCTCGGGTAACCGAACCTGAGTAACGCCTACAGTGATAGTCAAAGCTGTGGCTTTCTCGGGTCTTACTCGTGTTCCAAGAACGTTTATTTCAGATCATAAGATTGCACTGTGACGTTTGAATTGGGCGGAATGGCTTTAAAGCGAATGATTGAGACGTTTGCGCCCGTATTCATGAGCACTTTCACAGTTGTGTCTGAGGCAATTGTGACATGAACAATGGGTAGGTCGTCCCCGCTTGCATAGGAAGCAGTGAACGTTTCTTGACATGGTGGTACGGTTTCGGCATTCGTCATAATCTTGTTCTAGACGTCTTGGAGATGGCGTCGTCCGACTGTGTGTGCTGCATCTTTCTTCCGCCCGAAAAGTGGCGGGTGTCTTCGGAATACGACATTCTCTTGAGAAATTTCCCAGCTTGACACAGTTGTAGCATTTAATTGAGTTACGTTGTGCATTATCTTTGAAGCTTGCAGCTGTTCTTCGGTACAGCTCTTCATGTTCCTTCTTTGCGGAGTTGCCTTTTTTAGGTTTGGAGTGGCCATCGGCTATCCATGCACATTGCTTTGTCGATAAGTTCGAGCACCGACCCGCGATTGTGGGACGCCAGAGGTTTCGCCCATTTGTCGTCGGCAATGCCATGCAAGGTCGTTCAGATTCTTTCTGGAGAAAGAATCTGAACGACCTTGCATGGCAAGGTCGTTCATACGGTGACTTTTGTAGCATGGCTTTCTTGGCGTAAATATGTTTCACGATAGTTTCGCTGGGTAGAAGTTTCCGTTGGGCCTCGTACTCGATGAAGTCTTGCATGGTCATACGGTGACTTTTGTAGCATGGCTTTCTTGGCGTAAATATGTTTCACGATAGTTTCGCTGGGTAGAAGTTTCCGTTGGGCCTCGTACTCGATGAAGTCTTGCATGGTCATCTTCCTCTTAGAGCGTTCGAAGAGAGCTTGCTCCCACGTTTCCTAGTCACGAATCAATTTACCATATGCTGTCTGCAAGCCCTTAGCAGGTCCTCTGAGTCGAGTCAACGTTGACTCGACGTTGACTCCTCACCATGCTGAATGCGTACGCATTTAGCACGATGAGGGATGACGTTCAATGTTCAAGAGAAGCAACGTGATCGACCTCTTCAAGCCATTGAGAAATGTTGGCCTCGATATCTTTGGTGTAAATGGGTATGGCGGATGACGTGTCAATCGTAGAGTGCACTTCGAGGGGACGTGAGTTTGCCAATACGCACTCCACGATCCCTTGTTGAGTCCCTGCGATGATGGCGAGAAGCGCGTTGGCGGTAGAGATCGCAGGCTCTCGGCTGGTCGCCTGGTGGACCGTCGGAACGTTGACTGTTGCGTCCCAAGATCTGTAACTGTGTCCGGTGTTTGCGGCACTGAACCTGCGGACGGGCGTTTCTCTTGACTTTGACACAGCTGCTTCTTTATCATGGTCATATCAGTTTCAATCTTCTCGTAAGCTATTTGGAGCTTTTTATAGCGCTCCGCGACATCGTTTGTACAGTCGGCCATGTCTTGCTTGGGTCGTGTGCCTTAGCTAACACGTACCTGTGATTCTTGTCGGGGTCGACTGCGCCATGTTAGGATTAGGAAAAAAAAAGCTGATTTAATCAGAAAGCATTACAAATCGTTCGGTATCATTCGTGCTCATGCATCCTTTCCTTTCCCTTCGTGTACATGATTAGGGGAAATAACACTAGAAGACAATGACAGAGAGAAGAAACATAAACTACTGGACAGGAGAAATCCAGTAGGTCATGTTTCTTCTCTTTGTCCTTCTCTTGCAGCACCGTTTCTCCTAATAATGTGCAACTATCAACTAGTTATGCTATATACCTTATTACCCTTTTCTTTCTCATCTCGTGGCCTCTCTTACACCATCATAATTCGTTTTCTTTTTCATCTTCAAGAGGTCGAGTAGCCGGCGCCGTTTTCAAGGGTGCCAATATTTCCAAAACCCCCATGTATTCTGCTGTCATCGTGAGCAGCGGGCGTCCCTCCACGACACCGGCGCCAGCATCACCAACAGCGCGCGTCATTCGTTCGTAAAGCCTTGACGTCACTAACGTCAAAAAAGTACTGAAAGCGGTTGGTTGGAAGTATGATATGCACCCCTTTGAGGCGAATTCGCCTCTGAGTTTTTGGCCTGTCGATGACAGTATCTATTAATATTTACTATTACCTTTTTTTCCCTCTAGTGTTTCCGAGGAATAGGACGATGTCTGTAGTTGTTCCACAGAAATTATTTCTAACGTTTTTCTCAGAACATCTAAGAACCGTAGGAATAAAGGCACAGTTGATGAGTACCCGAAACATTTTACCTTTTGTGTACCATTTGTACCAATATTGTTTCACGAAATTCCCTCTATATATTGCAAAAATAAGTTTCCGCCTTTCTTCTTTACAGACTGCAACGTGCCGTTTGGGGAAGCAGCCGAGTTATGGTGACGCCTTCGGTTCTTGGTGCGGCCGCTGCGGTGGGACTGGCGCTACTTATCATTGTGTCCGTCGTCTTCTACCGGTTCTACTCTCGCAGTCAGAAGCTTTCGCTTTTGACGTCATTTCCGGGAACTGCTGGGGCCGCTGGAGTTTGCCCCGACGGACGGAAGCAACGGCTACTGGTGGTCGGTGAGGCGCAGTCCTCCATGGCCCAGCAACAGGTACCCTTGGGTGAAGTAAACAGCTCGTAACGATGCATTTTCTTCGTCAGCTATGGGATGGCGGGGCAGAAATTCGGTACGAGTGCTCCGTCAGCATTCATCCGGGATTCGCGTACATCCAGTGAGACACGATTTCTTGCCGTATACGGACAGCGGAAAGCTGCGTGCCTCTTTGGCTTGGCTCAAATGTTTTAGGGCAACTAGAAAGCTCACTTCTCTAGCTGTAAAGTTCTTTTTGCAACCGTACAGTCTAAAATTTTCTTAATCTTTGCTTTGATTTTTCTTGAAATATTTTTGTGCAACATCTTGTCAAGCACGCATTTTTTATTTCTCTTTTGCAATGACACGAATTGATTTGAACGTAGATATTGGACTGAGATCAGTTTGTTTGGGTGGAAAAATTAATAATGGGAAGCGTCTAACCATACCCTTATTGGGATCCCTACGTTTCGATGCCTACTCTACTCTTCTTCAGGGGTGACTCTGGCGATGGCCGTTGAGCAGCAATGTTTCTGTTTTTATTTTTTTTTTTTTTGTATTTGACACGCATTTTAAAGTTGAGAATTATTCTGTGAAATGCTTCTTTTATATCTGACACAATTGTGGCCTCCCACTTCCCTTTTCTGGTGGAATATTAAATTATTTTTCGTCATTCTTTGAAATCGGAAAAGCCACACTCGTCGGACCGTAATGTGGGCATGAAGTTTTAAGGGACCTTGTATCGGAGTTCTGTGTGAGCTGACGTAAACGTTTTCTAAGCCATTTTTTATGTAACATGAGTTACCAGTACGCTTTTTGTACTTTCAGCTTTTTCGAGATATCCTTGCTCCTAGCTGTCCCTACCATAGCGGTGGTTTTTGAAATGGTAATAGTTAAATACTGATGCAATGCTTCGCGCTTAACCGCGAAAGAGATCACAAAAAAACATACGAAAAAGTTCATGTTTGCATTATGCCAGTTTAAGTATTTTATTTTAACCTGGTTCTCGACATTACGAACCCCGGCAATTGAAGGAGTGCTCCATTTGTAAGTATTGTTGCCCAGGAAATGAGCATGATCCTTTCGGTTGTAGTTACATGGAGTACACGTATAGTTTTTGCAGTAAAGTAAATTTTGGGTACATAATTTGGTACAGCATATTGTATAACAGCATATCTAATTATTTAAAGAATAAAGATGTAAATTAAATACTTTCGGGGGTGGGACTCCCGTAAGAAAGTTTTACAGGCTGTTCGAAAGATACATGAAAGAACGTTCTATTGACAAAAAACAATTTTGAAACAACAGGCTTTTAGAAAGGGTAAAAATGTAAGTGCTCGAACATATACAAAGACAGAATAAAGGAATTACAAAAAAAAAAAAAACTTAATTTAAGACACGTATTAGCTCGTATAGTCTTGGAGCGCGCTGGGTGTCCCGGGTGCTCGAGCGGTGGGGCTGCTAACGAGCCACGGGATGAGGTTGAGCTGTTGGCGACTTGAGGTGTGGCATGTTCGGGGACTTCGGCGTTCAGCGTGGCATGTTCGGGGACAAGGCACTGCCGCCTTTTATTTATATATCGTTTCGATGCTGCAGCTCTCAGTTGAAAGTCTGAGCAGGAGTTGAAGTTTTTATAAGATACACGCGATGAATAAACACCCAAAATGCGACCTGAACATATATCTGATAAAGTGCGTTATCGAAACTGGTGAGTGATGAACGCGTGACAATTTCATTTGACAGTAGATTACAAGCTTGAATTTCTCGAGTGAAAAATTAACAGTTGAAAACATTGTGCTCAAACCTGTATTGCTGAATTCATCTGGTATGGTTGATCCTTGCCGATCCGGTTGATGAAAAAAGTGATATATTGTTCAATATGAATATTAAACTACTTGTAAATAAAGAAATATAGATGCTTTAATTCATGAATTATGGCCCTAGTTTCCAACGCATTCATATTGGCGTCCGTAAACAAGCGCCTTTTAGCATTCCGGTTTCTAAATACGCTGAAGTTGAACTAAGAGCTTGCTTTTGGACGCCTCCATGTGTGCTCGTGCCCGCACCGTGTGTGTGTGTGTGGGGGGGGGGGGGGGGGGGGGATGGGGATGGGGAGGGGGGGGGGGACCAGTCCACGTACACCAGCATTTGTTTAATTAGTGTTTTATATTGTTACCAATGACAATTGATCAGGCGACGGATGACTGAAAAATACTGAACGTTTAGTGGGACGATCTTGTGCCCAAAACAAAATAGAGTAAGGTTAGCGTCGCAGGCATCGATGTCGGCGAAACAGCAGGATAGAGCGCTGGGGCGAGACTCACCCGGCTCGCCACACGGAGCCCCTTATGTGTTCACACTTGGGTTTCTAGAACAATCGTCGTAGAAGGTTCGGCGCGTAGAACATTCGGACCTCAAATAAGCAATAAAATTCTCGAATACAACAGAACACGACATCTACAGAAATAACAAAAAGGTGCGTCCACTCCCTGGCATCGAACCTCGGCCCTTTGCGTGGGAGCCAAGCACGATAACCATTCGGTCACGGGCGTGCTACCCGCGTGGCTTGCTGCGCGCGCGGCAATATGCTATAGTCTTTGTCTCGCTTTCTGCAAATTTATGGGTACGTCTAAGCGTAAAAAGGTTACATCTAGCCTTGTTCGCAATTTGATCAGAATGTTGATTCCAAGTCAGTTTTACATTAAACGTAATGCCGATGCATTTATAATGGTCTACACATAATTTATATTTTTCATGTTCACAGTGTAATAAAAATGCAGTGGATTATTTTTCCAAAATGTGGCCATTACTGCTCTTTTGTAATTAATTATTTGCATTTGCCATCGGTTAGGCCATTCATTTGTCAGCAGTAATGCATTATGCCAATACACAATGAAGTTTGGGGTGTGAAAAGCGTTCAAAGCTTTAGAAAATTTTAGAAATATAACACCTGTTTGTTCCCGTATATTTATTGTAGTAGCAAACCGGTGTACGGCTTCTGTTAACTGCGTGACAGTCGATGGGGCTTTTCTGAAGCCGTGTTGGCACTCGACCAGAATATTATTTGGTTCGAGGTATTCTATCATAGGCTTCAATAGTATATGTTCAAGTAGTTTACAGCAGTCTGTAATTGATCGGTTGATTGCGGTCACCAGATTTATGATTGGGAATTGTTTTTTCTGTTTTCCAATGCGTGGGCAAAACTTCATATTTAAGAGAAATTGCAAAAAAAAAATATATATATATATGAAGATCTTTTGACATCCACCCTGCATACTTCCGTGAAAATGCATTATGCAAAGAGTCGGGACCTGGAATTTCTTTCGGCTCAACATGATTCAGCAAATTTAAAGCGCCCGATCCCGACATTCTAGTCTCTTCAATCCTAGGGGAGAAAATGTCCTCGAACTGGGGTAGCTCACTCTTATCTTTGGCAAATACCGATTCAAAGAATGAGTTGACTTCGTTAGGAGAAATTGATGAGTGCAAACTTTTATTTTTCTCAAGCGATAGTACCGCCAGAACTTCTGTGGCCCACTTTAAAAAAAAAAAAAAAAAAAAAACTAGCCCAACGTAATGTTAAAAAACAATAATGGTTTGATTTAAAGAAACATTGACACCCCCCAATTTTTTTTTTCATTTTTTGCCAGGCGTTTTATTATGGTTGTCGGAGGACTAGCCAATTAATATTTTGCAACAGAGTCACGTATATTTTAAATAAAGCTAAAAAACGCAACTGCTCGAAACCAAAACCGAAATCCGCGCATGGGGGCCGGAGAAGTGGAGAGGAGAGAGTGAGTGGCGGAAGTCACGTGGCTACATCCAACCGTGTGCTTTTTTTCCCCATCGTTATTATTATTATTTTTTTTTGCGCGCAGCAGACGACATGTGTGGCGGGGAACCGTGTGTCGTGCGATTCCTTTGCACTTAGGTTTGTTCCGCTCGCTGTTCTGTACTTCACGATAAGTTCTTTTGTACATTGAAGAGTTGGAGTTGAGTAGTGAGTGCCCGTGGTGAATTTCTGTGATCGGCTCCGAAAAGAATGCCCAAAAGATGTTGCGTGAAGAGCTGCCTCACATGAACTGCGTACGAAAAAAAGTGGCATTGTGCGGCAGTGTCTGCACAAGTTTTCGAAAGATCAACGGGATCGGGACCAATGGCTGGCTGAAATTCTTGTAGAACATTACTGGCACCTCGGAAGGCGTTCCTTGCATTTTTTGGAATGTGATTACATTGAGTTCAACGACATTTCGTCCACATTTTTTTTCAGTGATAATTTAAAAAAAAAAAAGAAGTGTAAAAATTGCAGAATGTTTGAAAAAAAAAAAAAAAAGCGGTAAGTCCGCGCTAGGGATATAACCTGGTTCCGCAGCGTGTGAAGCGGACAGCTTTCCACTGAGCTACTGGGGAAACTCTTTCGTTAATAATAATGCAGCCGGTACTGTAGGTTGGAAAGTTTGCTGCCTATTTTCCTCCAGCAAACGCACTCCCGGGTCGAAGTCGGGCAGCACCACGCATTGGCCACATTCGCACCTAGTAAAGAAATCGTACGCGTGCATATTCAACTCTATAGTACGCACTTCGTGCTCGACGTTTGCGCGAGCGATGCCTTCAGCCACGAGAAAGGGCGAAAGCTCGGTGACGTCTCCTTACAAATCGACTCGGGGGTCGGGGGTGTCGTAGGGGACGAATACCGATTCTTTTGATTGCTCCAAAATTCCTCTTTCACAGGAATACAAAATTCGCTGGTACCGCGAACGACAGTTTTGAAGTAGAGGTCCCACGCCCGTTGTCCGCTGCCATCGACGTCCCCACGAATCCCACGATACGCGAAACGACGCACGCACAGAATGCTTCCGGTTCTCTGTGCAACTTCTTTTTTCAATAACCTATTTGCAGCTCTTTAGAAGCCACACAAAAGCGGTTTCATATTTGTTTCTATTTTTAATATTGAGTGTGTGCCTTCAATGACAAACGACTTTGATTAAATTTGGTGGTTTTGTTTAAAACTTAGAAAACGA